GCTACTGAAAACATGGGAACAGGGCTCATGGCTGCCAGAATGACCTCATTGGCCCAGACTGGATATGCCTTTAGAGGAATCATATTGTCATCAGGAAAACCTGCTGAGGATGGACATCCTGCTTGGTGTCATGCCTGGTCATCATCTGCTCAGACGTCTCCTGGTTCCTATCGTCATCATTGTCATGGAACAGGCTACTCACTAATCCCTACACAGACCTGAGGCAGCCCTTCCCCAGTCTTTGTTCATCACTTCCTTCTACACAGCAGTACTCCAGTGACTCTGTTCTCTTTAAGATACCTATTAGGTACCAAAGTCAAAGATGTAATAGTCACAAAGGGTCCCAACAATCCTAATGCCTAGTGGTGGGTCATATCTACCTGCTTCCTTGGGTTCACTCTTGTTACTGTGGTTTTAGGTAGGGTCTTACTATGTTGTCCAGGCTGTACTTGAACTTGGTACCTTCCTGCTTCATCTTCCTGAGTGCTAAGATGACAGACATGTGCCACAATACCTAGCTTTCAGGCATCCTTTGATAGCACATACCCGACTCTATCTCAGTGGTTACCAACGGGCATTTTCTCGTTGCTCTGGTTTTGAAGTTTCGAGTTCTATAGAGGTCTTCCCCATTCTTGGGTTGGGCTCTACTTTTTTTATGATCTCTTCTACTTGTTCCCTCTGGTCTTCAGTATTGGACACTCCAGCTCCCACCAGCTCCGAGAATTATGCAGGTATTCCTGTCCCTTGATTTTACATGTCTAAATCCATATCCTTCCAGCCTCTTGCTCTGACATTAATCTCCCCATAAACTTTTTTTTTTTAAGACAGGGTCTTACTATGGAGCCCTGGCTGGCCTAGAACTGACTATGTAGTCCAGACTGGTCTTGAACGTACAGAGATCTGCCTGCCTCTTCCTCCATAACACTGAGATTTAAAGGCGTGTGCCCAGTCCCATAAATTCTTCTCAAGTTCTAAAATCTGGAAGAAACTTTTCTTCATCTACACCCCTAGCACAATTGATTTGCTCCTTTCTTGACACCTCAACTTTGTTATAGAGCTTTCTGGGCACTTGGCTCAACCCATTTTAGCTATATAAATCCAGATGTTGCAAACCTAACTCTTAATTTTAGTTTACCTCCCAACCTAGAAGCACATTATACTGGCCACAACAAATTCTAAATATTGGGGGTAGGCTAATGACTCAGTCGTTAAGAACACTGACTCGTCATCCAGAGGACCCAGGATCAATCCCCAGCACCAACATGGCAGCTCACAAAGTCTGAAACTCCAGTCCTGGAGGATCCAATGCCTTTTTCTAGCCACCACAGGCACTGCACACATATACATGCAAGCAAAACACCCATATACACAAAATAATAAAATTATAATTAAAAATAAAGTCTTAATATTTTAACGTTGCATGAACGATGCTTTCACTTTGTAGCCAATTTAGGAGGTTTTGATATCGTTTTTACCAGTCATAACTGAGTCTCTCTCTCTCTCTCTCTCTCTCTCTCTCTCTCTCTCTCTCTCTCTCTCTCTTTCTCTCTCTCTCACACACACACACACACACACACACACACACACACACACATACACACACACACACCTTTTTTTGTTTGTTTTCCAGACAGAGTCACACTATATAGTTAACTAACTGTCCTGGAACTCACTGTGTAGAGCAGGCTGGCCTCAAACTCACCAAAATCCCCCTGCCTCTACCTCTTGAGTACCGGGATTAAAGGTGTGCACCGCTATACCCAGCTACACACACTATTTTTAATGTGAAATCATGAGCTCGCTCACAACCGTGCAAACCAGAGGATTGTCATGAGCTTCCTCATAGCAGATGTCAGTTGTAAGTAGAAACACCAACTGAAATGTTATGTTCATGTAAGTGATACCTATTTTATACTCATTTTGAAGAGCCCTTAAAGAATAAGATGCTTTGTCTGATGAGTGACTGCCTAGAGCCCATTTTAATGGCTGCCTTCCAATCAGCATAACAGTAACACTGATCTCCAAAATAAAGATTGCAATGTAGCAGGCAAGAAACTGTCCATCTCAGAGTCGCTGGCCCACCAGAATGCTTAGCTCCACAGTCTCTGTCCAGCCTAAGGTCTGGAAGGCCAATGCTGACGTCACTCTTGAAGACCTTTCAAGAGTGAGAAGGGCTGGAGACTTAGTTGGCTCAGTGGTTAAGAGTACTGGCAGCTCTTCCAGAGGTCCTGAGTTCAATTCCCACCAACCACATGGTGGTTCACAACCATCTATAATGGGATCTGATGCCCTCTTCTGGCATAAAGTTGATAGAGCACTCATATACGTAAAATCAATAAATCTTTAAGAAAAAAAAAAAGAGGGAGACAAAGGTGGGTGGATAGTCTCCCTCCCCACCTCTGGGACCTAGCCTTTGCTTGGTTGTCTGGCTTCCTGTCACAGCAAGTATCCTTCTTTTGAGAATCACAATCTTTTCCACTTTTGTCTATGCAGCTGGCTACATGGAATTGCATGTTGTTAGACTTCATCAAACTCACAAAAAAAGAGAAGACAAGCTCCTTGGTTTTGAGGGAGGGGGTAAGAAAGACAACCAATGATAAATCCAAACTTAAATTGTATATGGATGATGGTGTGTGTGTGTGTGTGTGTGTGTGTGTGTGTGTGTTCATGTAAGTGCACATTTATGTGTGGGTGCATGTGGAAGCCAGAGGTCAAACTCAAGTGTCACTCTTAGTGTGTGATTTTTTTTTTTTTTTAGACAAGATCTCTCACTGGCCTGAAGCTTGCTGGTTACGGTAGGCTGGCTGTCCACTCAGCCACAGGTAGAAACCTGTCTAACCACCAGCACTGAGATTGCAACCACGTACCATTCACTATGCCTGGCTTGTTTGTCTTTTACATGGAATCTAGGGATCAAACCCGGGCCTTGTGCTGTGCAAAGACTTCATTGATTGAGCTGTCTCACCAGCCTACGCCTCCTTCTTCCAACCCATATTTCTTTCTTTTTTTAATTTATTTTATTTCATTTGTACTGGTGTGAGAGTCCCTGGAACTGGAGTTACAGACAGTTGTGAGCTGCCACATGGGTGCTGGGAATTGAACTCAGGTCCTCTGGAAGAATAGTCAGGGCTCTTAATTGATGAGCTATCTCTCCAGCCCCCCCACCCCCCAACTTAAATTTCTTAATGGAGACAACATTTGGTCTTACATGAAAACTCCTCTGATTGTCATAAATCAATTTAACAGCACATGGAAAACTGAGTAAGATACTAAAGTTCTAAACCAGAGAGCATTCCTGGAGTAGCTTTGATCTGGAGTTGTTTTAAAGTCTCCTGTAGAACATTTAGTCTCAAGCAAAGGTTTTTAGAGCATCTATGAGTATCACTTAGAAGAAACATCTGTCTGTTGACAACAATGACCTTGGAAAATGGCAATTGCTTCCAAATCTGAACATTAACCTATCTAATAACCAAGCAATCCACATGGTAGGTGCACATTAGCAATGCAAGCATATATTCACAGAAGCCATATACAAGAATATTTCTAGCCACACTATTTATAGTCAAAAGCTGGAAAGAGCCCAAATTCCAAACAATGACAGAATCAAAGAGAAAAACTAGAACACAGGAATGAGCAAGGCCCCCTGCCACATACCTCACATAATGCTGCATATAAATTCAAATTGGGCAGCTCTAATCCAAGCCATGCAAGTTGGGGTCGTGGTTATTCCTGTTGGGTGGCAAGAATAGGGAGAGCCGGGGGGCGGCGGCGGCGGCGGCGGCGGTGCACGCCTTTAATCCCAGCACTTGGGAGGCAGAGCCAGGAGGATCTCTATGAGTTCGAGGCCAGCCTGGTCTACAGAGCGAGATCCAGGACAGGCACCAAAACTACACAGAGAAACCCTGTCTCAAAAAAACAACAACAAAAAAAAAAACACGAAAAAGAACAGGGAGGAGCAAAAGTGACGGCTTCAGAGACAGCGACACTTTCATCTGTTCTTTCTGCCTGTATGTGCACACGTATGTGTGTGTAGGTGTGTGCAGGTGTATGTGCACTTGTGTATGGGGGCCAGCAACCAACACTGAGTGTCATCCTCAGGACGGCCATCTAATCTCTCCACAGCCTGGAGCTCACCAGTTAGTCTGGACTGACGAGCAGGCAAGCCCCAGAGAGCCTCTGGTCTTCGCCTCCCCACCTCTTAGATTACAAGAGCCTGCACCACGTCTGGTCTTTTTATACGGGTTCCGAAGGTGGCGCACAGGTCCTCGTGTCTGCAAGGTACAACTTGGTTTTACCAACTCAGTCATCCCACTACCCTCCCATCCCCAAACATCATTCTCTTTCTTAATGGAGGTGGAGATCATGGAGGTAAATTCATGATTTGTATCTTTCTGCATGGTCGTTACATTGCAATAAAACTTTTACTAACACACACACACACACACACACACACACACACACACACACACACCAAAGTAATAAGTGATGTGCCATATGACTATCACCACAACTAAATTTCTAAAATTATCTGTAAAATATGTAGTGTTTGATGCTGTCCTTTTTCGGACAATAATTATGAAACAGAACAAACTGTAAGACCACCTCTCACCTCTGACAACGCCACACCACTGGCAGTTAGGAAGGGCCTCGGTGAGGAGAAGGGGAGCAAGCATCAGAAGCTTTTGAATGTGGCTTCTGACCATTGGCCCCACTATGATGGGAATAAAATCGACATGGGGAGAATACCTGATCTGAGTCTTCAGAGTCAGCCCATCAACTTACCAATGGTTACACAGCAGAAGAACATATTTCTTCCTCACCCCCAACAACCATTAACTACCCATAGCTTCTCTGGGAGAGGCGGAGTGTCATGCACCCCTCCCTCCTCCATGATGGAATGTTAACAACACTCCACCTCTTCCTTCATCCCTCCCTCCTCCCTCCTGCTCTTACATTCCTTCCACTCCCTGAGTGACGTTCCCTGAGTCTTGGCAGGGTCCTGTTTATGGCGGATCATTCTACCATTATTTAACCTCGGCACTTCGACCAGATTTTAGTCTCTGCACACACCTCTACCCGCTGCAGAAAGAAGCTCCTGTCACAAAGCCTGGTGCAGCACTAACCTATAAACATAAATATCAACACTTAGAGGGCAAGTCGACGGGCACATCATGTCCCTGTAGCAAAAGAACCCCAACAGTTTCCTACTAGGGCTGGTTGACCTCCCTGGCCACCCGCCATTGACAAGGTTTATAGTATCAGATGTGAATTCTTGCCCTGGAGTGAACCTCAAATCCGTTCGGGATGTGACTGGTTACCCTGTGGTTGCCTTAAAGAAAGGAAACTGGGATTCTAACGTGGGATATGAACTACGTTTTTATTCTTTTGAATTTGCTACCTATGTGAAAATAATTATTTACTTTTAAAATAGTGTCTTTGGGAGAATAATACAACCTAAATTTTTAAATAAAAAATTTGAAGTTAAGGAAATAAGGATGAAAAACACAACTTGGCAACGTAAAAACTGCTAAAAGCGTGTGCTCAGATTTTCATGGATAAGTAGCCTTTTTGGCTTTCCATCAGGGCAGTAAATACCTAGATAACCAACTAAAAGACAGAGGGGCAATTCGGCTCACAGTTCTGGAGGTTTCCATTCGTGATTGGCCATGTTGCTTTTGGACCAGTAGAGATACAGTACATCATGGCAGGAAGAATGTGGTAGAGAAAGCTACTCACCTCAGAGCCAGGATGGGAACAAGAGGGAGAGAAAGAGGCTGCGGGTTCACAGTACCCTTTGAAGCTGTGTCCTTCCCTCCTCAATAACCAAGATCTCCCACAAGGCTTCACCTCTTTGTGGGTTTGTGTTTCTGCAGAAATACATTAAAATCCAATCTGAAAATGCGATCTGCCCTTTCAGGAGGAACAAGTTCACACACTGAATCGTTTTACAGGAAGAGATAAGCAGAAGAGAGGAAATAAAAGCGATCGATGGGGATGAATATCAGCAAAACATAAGGCTGCACATATAATGATGCTCACTACTCTGGACGGTAGCCAAAAAAAAAAAAATCAGTTTCAAATGAAAAGAAGTGATGGAGAGGGAAGGAAGCACTTTCCAAGGCAGGTAGATACCCACACCAGCCATTTCTTTATGACATTTTAGTGAGTGTGCACGTGCCGTGGCCCGGGCGTGGTAAGAGAACAACTTGCAGGAGTCAGTTCTCCCCTCCCAACATGTGGGTCCTGGGGACTGAACTCAGATCATCAGGCTTGGTGAGCTGAGCCTTTACCAGCTGAGCCAGCCAGCCAGCCAGCCCCCAACGACTTATTATTTAGTCAGGGTTTAGCGGCTCTGGGCAAAACTGGCAACCAAAAAGCATTTTTTGCGACGAGAATGTTTAACACGACTTATGAAATCATACTTTGGCCCTCTAATTTTACTTTGAAATATAAAACTCCCATGTTCCTATCAGTGCTCCTTATAGTCACAGCAAAACATGAAGCACGTTGAAACATTATTTTCTAAAATTAAGCTGTACAGACCACGGTAGTCCTAACATGAGACATAACCTTCTATTACAACCATAACATCAAGTAATAGAGAAGCACTTGTTGCAATTTTATAGTCTACTTAGGGAGCTTATCAAAGGCAGAAATGAACCCGGAGCAATCGAGTTTATAATGCAGTGTTCATTAGGTTTTGTGCAAATGGTTGTTTAAATTCCCAGAGGACAGTCTGTCCATCTGGCAGGCGTGACGGCAGAGCGAGGAGGACCAGATGGGCTCTGAAATGGGTCATTCCTGGCAGAGCGAAGAATACTTACGGTAGGATTGATTTTTGATGCACCACCTGAGGTACCCGTGACAGACCGTCCACAGCCTCACTGGACCTGTCTATCCCCTGCGCGAGAGTTAAAGAATTAAAGGCCATCTGGTGGCCAAATGAGAACATGACAGCTCAGAGGATTCTAAGGGTGAGTGGATGGAAAAGTAAACAGGTTCTTCAATTCCGTCAGCTCCATTTGCACACAAAAGCATCCTAACTGGCTCCCGGTCAGCCATAAATATCTCCTACAAATCCTGTTACGCCCTCAACATCATTGCCGGGGGTCCTCAGCCGTGCTGTCACTCTCAATCAACACAATTTATCTCCCTGAAAATGCTATGTGCAGAATACATCACTACTGTATGTGAATAAATGATCAAAACTAGGCACTCAGAGGGGCTGGGGAGAGCGTTTCATGGTTGCTTTATAAGCTTGAGGACCTGAGTTCAGAACCCAAGCACCCATATAAAAGCTGGCTGTGGTGGTATGTGCCTGTAATCCCAGCATCAGGAGGCAGAGACAGGAGGATCCTTAGGGCTTTTTAGCCAGTTGGTCTAGTCAATCAGTGAGCTCCTGTCCATGAGGGACCCTGTCTCAGATAATGATAGAGGAAGATACTCACTGGTCTCTGGTCTCCACAATGTGTGCATGGACATACACACCTATATGCACACACACACACACACACACACACACACACACACACACACCCCTACATTTCACACCAAAGAGACTTGGTAGTTGGTGAAAATCATCCCTTTGCTCCAGTACCATCTGTCAGTCTTCTGCAGAAATTCAGAGGAAATGAACAGCTCAATACAAAGGCAAATACGCAGTATGTTTCACTAACATTTCATGAGAAATTCATTCATTACAGAACACCATTCATCATTCAATCTTCTTGATTAGCCTTTGGAATAGTTTGGATGATTAAAGAGCAGCATTTAAATTCAGAACTATTTTTTTTCATAGAATTATAATTAGTGCCTTCCACGGAGAGACCTGTCTGACTCCCACGTGACAAGTCCCGGTACGACATTAACAAGACATTAAAAAGAGTAGGGAAGTCTCTTTGAGAAAGAATTTCTGGGTGACAACACCTCTCTCCTTGGGCTTTGACTCTGATTTTGACTTCCCCTTCTGCTGACTCGGTCGGTGGACCAGTCATTCTTCACCTATCTGCCACTGAAACGAGCAGACTGTAGCAGAAGTTCAAAGCTATCCTTGTCTTCTTTTCCCACTCATGTAAGCCAGCACGTTTGTGTAGAGGAGCACCGAAAGCAACAGTTTGTCCAGACTGCAGGATGCAAACCGCGGAACGGTTTCCAGGAAGCTCCAATCTTTGGGAAGTCCCAAGGTGGAACGCACCCTCCCTCCTCTCTGCGCTCTGTAACACCTGCAGACTCAGTGATGGGGAGCCCTTTGGTCCTTGGTCTGTTTCTCCAAACTGACCCATTTGGACCTAGCTAGGAACCACGGTAAACCCTCTTTACTGGACCCATTCACCACAGTGCTACCCAGGCTCACTTTGCCTAGAGTAGTTGAAATGTGTAAGGTGTACATAAAAGGGCAGTTAGAAACAGTGACACTCCCGCTCCACCCCCTCAGAAATGTCTTCAGAAAAAAACGTATGACATGTGTCTCAGAAATCCTTCCACCTAATTGAATCTTGACACTCTGTTCCTGTGGTTCTTCCTCTGCTTGTCAGCGACGAAGCATCAGAAGATTGTAACATCCCCAGGAGTGGGACAAACCGACAGTGAGTCTCATTGGGAAGTATGTACCAGGATGCAGTGTTCCAGAGAGGAAACACACCACTTCTGGGTACGCATCATGATCCAGACGTGGTGGTGCACACCCGTGATCCCACCTCTTGGGAGGCTGAGGAAAGAGAATCAAGAGTTCCAGACCAGACTGGGCTATCCAGCAAGACCTTGTCTCAAAAAATAAAAATGAAATCAGATCTTCCACATCTATCTTCTATATATTCTTTATATAAGTAGGAAAAAGACACATAGCTCTGTGTTAGTTTAGTTTCAAAGAAAATACGTGTGCAGTGGGTGTGTGCACATGCCATGACATGTGTGGTCAGAAGACAACCTCACAGGGGTCAGTCCTTACCTTCCTCCTTGCAGGAGGGCTTCTTTTTCATTCTTGCTTTTATCAGTCTAGTTGGAACATGGGCTTTGAGAATTCTCTTGTCCCCACCTCCCATCTCAGCATCGGAATCCTGAGATTACAGGAGTGTGTGCTGATGTGTGGTGGCTTATTTCAGCTCGTGGTTCCAGCTCCAGTCCACCACAGCAGGGAACTCACAGAGAGGCAGGACTGGAGGCAGTGATCATATGGCACCCATGATCAGGAACAGACAGTGAATGGATGCTTGCTGGTGCTCAGCTCGCTCTTTCCATTTTGTTCAGTCCAGGGCTCTGTAAACAGAGGAGGAGTTTTCCTGTCCCGACCACCCGGTCCCACATAAACACACAAAAACTTGTATTAATTACGAAATGTTCAGCCAATAGCTCAGGCTTATTATTAACTAGCTCTTATTTTTTAAATTAACCCATTTCTATTAATTTATGTATTGCACACGGCCCGTGGCTTTGCCTGTCCTCTGGCATCTTGTTTCTTAGGTGGTTCGCTTGTGTCTCTCCCGCCTCTGCCCTTCTTCATCTAAGTTCTCAGTTTGATTGTCCTGCCTAACTTTATCCTGCCTTGCTATAGGCCAAACAGCTTTATTATTAACCAATGGGAGTAATATACATTCACAGTGTACAGAAGGATCATCCCACAGCAGTGCTCAGCCTCTGAAATCATGCCACCCATATCCAGGGTATGTCTTCCCATTTTAGTTAACCCAATTTTAAAAATCCCTCACAGCCCAAAGACCAACCTAATCCAGACACTCCCTCACTGAGACTCCCTTCCAGTTCAATAATCAAAACTAATGTCCGTTTCCACTTGAATTTTAACAAATATTCACAAAACACCCATTACATAATAGGACTGAAGAAAAGACCAAAGACGAAGAAGAAATTTTGTTTTGTTTTAGGCAGATCTTATGTAGTACAGGCTGCCCTGGAATTCACCATTTAGAAAAGGATGACTTTGAACCGTTGATCCTCCTGCCTACGCCTCCCAAGCTCCCGAGCGCTGGGATTACAGGCACACACCACAACACACAGGTGGAAAACGGCAAATTTGTTTGTAAGATGTAGTGGGAACTGGGACTAAGGAAAGCCAGAGGAGACCTCATGTAAATCAGCGATGTGAGAGAGCTTGGAAAGCCCAGAACAACCAGCCTGAACGCACACACGGGCAACCGAGGCCAGACTGGAGAAGGGAAGCCAGGGAAGGCTGTAGATTCTGAGCCAGATCATTTAAAAGAGTCATTCTGTGGAGAGCTCGCTGCACAACCAGAGACACAAAGGTGGGGTTGAAAACAAGAGGAGACAGAGGATGGAGCCACGGTCCCAACTCCCTGGGTTAATCGATCGTGGCTGAGCCAGACGGTCAGGGGAAGGAGCTTTTCCTGGGCACCTGTGCATTAGCTAAGGCCTTCCTTTCTCTATCTAATCTAGTGGATCAGGTATCTGATTCAGGAGACAAATCCATTGACATTCATCGTTAATTTATGGGCTGTGAGATCTATGTTCCTTGTTCCTTAGCTGTTACACGGCTTTATAGGAAGCTCAAATGTTTCTCAGTTGTGAGGAATAGGAAATTAAATCTTTTTTTATTTTTTCCTTCCTTCCTTTCTTTTTTTTAAGCCAGAGTCTCATTTTGTAGCCTACTGCCATACTAGCCTGTAACTCACCGTATAGCATGGGCTGGCCTAGAACTCACAGCGATCCTCCCGCCTCAGTTCTCTGAACCACATCTAACCAACGCTTTGTTTAAATTTTATTTTATTTTACTCTTACTATTGTGTGTGCAGAAGCCAGCAGACAGCTTTTGGGATTCGCCCTGCTCCTTCCACAGTGGGGCTGGGGGATCCTAACTCAGGTTGTCAGGCTTGTGTGACAGGGGCTTTTACCACTGAGCCGTCTTGCTGGCCCTGTTCTGTTGTTATTGTTGTTGTTTTGTTTAAGAAGGCAGATCTAAGCTGCCTGTGTTGTCTTATACCTGTAATTCCCAGAACTCAGGAGGCTCAGGCAGGAGGATTGCCATTAGCTTGAAACCACCTGGGGCTACAAAGCAAGTACCAGGGCGACAAGGAATAGAATAAAACCTTGTCGAAAGAAAGAAAGAAAGAAAGAAAGAAAGAAAGAAAGAAAGAAAGAAAGAAAGAAAGAAAGAAAGAAAGAAAGAAAGAAAGGGGGAGGGAGGGAGGGAGGGAGGGAGGGAGGGAGGGAGGGAGGGAGAAAGGGAGAAAGGGAGGAAGGAAGGAAAAAGTCAGGTTTGTTTTGTGGTTTAGTACAGTTTTTACAAGTATTCTAGTCATAGGACTTTGGTAGTTTAACTGAGGGAAATTCAGATTTCAAACCCAATTGCTATTTAGGACCCTCCACTATGGAGAAATTTAAGGGAAAGGCTGGGGAATGAGCTGTGAGTTCGGGTTTGACACAGCTTTGGGTGACAGATAGAGAAGGCTGGCATCTTTACTCCAAGCGCTCAGCAAATGCTGAATTAAGTCACTAAACTGGCTGGCAGGGGCACCGCCATTGCGCTGTGTTTATGAGAGTGTGCTGGACACAGCTGAGGCCACCGCCTGCCAAGTCTGGCCGATATTCCACGTAGTCATTTATGACGCCCATAACAAGTGTTAGCAGGGCTTTAGGGCCAATAATGTTCGGGGCAGACACAAACGAAAACAAAAAGATTAGCAAATCTTGACTCATAAAGCACAGAGTGAGAACAGTTAAACAAAAGTTCACCGAGGAAGACATGAAAAGAATTGAGTCTTCCAGGTGTGGTGGCTCAAACCTGTAATCCCTGTACCTGGGCGGCTGAGGCAGGAGGACTGTGGCAAGTCTGAGTTCAGCCTGGGTTACACAGTGAGTTCCAGGCCCCAGGCTACAGTGTGAGACCCTGTTTCAAAACCAAGACAAAGAAAGGAAGGAAGGAAAGGGGGTTGTAAAGGCCTCAGAAGTCCGACCTTGCTTTTGGGAAGGGGAAGACATCTATGTATCTTCTGTCAAAAACACATGGTGGAAAGTAACAATGAGTGTTATCAGTGCCCAGGAAGCCCCCACATGGCGCCTCTCTGGAAGGCTACTTCAATGTTGGAAAAGAAAGCATGCAAGGAAGTTGTATCCTAAGGAAATTGCTAACCGCCCCCTCAACCCCCACCCCGAATACAGGCAGCTGATAAAGGATAACTCCATCATATTTCATCAGTTCCATTTCCCCATGCCAAAAGACAGTTTTTCTTCAGTACCAGAGGATTCAGCTCCCTCATAGGGCTTTGGTGAGGTCAAGGAGCAGGAACAGCAGGTCTAAACTAGAAGGCATGTTTGGGCCTTTCTGGCTTATAGGTCAATCACTGCTCATCTTGCTATGAACTGCATGAGATCCATAGTAATATAGGTTCATATCAGTCTGGGATGCACGAGAGATGCTGGCTTTGAAAATGTCCCTAATGGCTGGGGAAACTACTATATATTCATCCATCCATCTACCCATCCGTTCTCCTTTCCACACCTACCTCTATCAAACCCAGAGGTAAACAAGTGCTCTACCACTGAGGTATATCCCCAGCTTACACAAAACTTTTTTATCGGCCTCGTTCTTGGGGAAATGTTGGCTCTAATTCACACAGCTACACATGGTATGGACCCCTTTTGACACCATTATGTGAGAGCCAAAGAGAGATTCTATCATTTTTAGTGGGGTTCTTGTTTGTTTTTACCGAATGTCTTTCAAATTCCGTTTTAAACACGTCTCATGAGAAACTCTCTGCAGTTGCCTGTGTCACGCCCAGATCACCACCTGCTTTACATCGTGAATCCTGAGCACACAGATCAAAGGAAAGACCGTGGACTGTCTAGGAACTCTTCTCCGCCCAAAGAAACCACAGTCTGGATAAATCTTTACCTGGAAAGGAAGCACCAACTTTGTCTGAAAAGCAGAATGGCCTCATGGCGTGAGGGTTCTCTCAAATTCCACTTCCTCTATAATTGCCGAACACAGCTGCCCAAAATCTCCAAGCACTGGCTTTAAAACTGTATCAACAGCTGGAACACAGGCGCATACCTGTAAGTCCAGCTATGAAGTCAGAGGGTTTGAGGCCAGCCTGAACAACATAGTGATAACCCACTTCCAAATAGTGTGCTCCCAACGCTAAGATGACGCCAACAGAAGGTGTGATTGGTGTGTTTTCCTGAGGATTATTGATGTTGTTGTTGGTTTTTATTTTTTTTTTTAGCCTTTCCTAGAAGGAAGTAAGATGAGTTTACCGGAAACCTGAGTTTGAAGTGCTTGCCTATGGGGATGGGTTGGTTAGAATTTCTTCTGTGGGAATCTTCAAGAAAAGCAACTCAGGAGTTAGAGGTTCTGTTCAGTAGAAGGGAATTTGCCTAAAATGCACAAAGCCTTGGGTCCAATCTCCAACAGTGGGGAAAGCAAGAGAGAGCGAGAAAGAGAGACAGACAGACAGACACACACACACACACACACACAAGATTTTTTAAAGTCAATTTCTGAAACAGTTCAGACTTCAGGAGAGGCTGTGACACAGAAACATTAGTTAAATGCCCTCTAAAAGTTTTTGTGGCCGTGCTTTTGAAAAAGCGCCTTACGTATTTCCTTCTTTCTCATTTTGGAGACATCAGGGAGGCTCTGGGGACACGGTCATTCTACTCAACTCCTGCCAAAACCAACTGAAAGAAAAGAAGCTATTTGATTGGGTCAAGAGGAATAATTATACAGCCTAAAAATACGTTGAGTCTCAGGGGAGAAAATGAAAAGCTTTACAGAGAAGGTGACCAGCACTTCCTTTCTGGCATCCTTTTATGACTGTGTGATTTACTCTAATAGCAGCCTGGCATTTCAAGCCAGATGATTCAGTGGCCTGGCCATGGCTTACAGAGCATTTCATCTGTGGTCATCCATCCTGCCTATGAAGAAATGGGTATTTAGTCACACAGAGAAAAGCTATAACCTCCTGACCCATGAGCAGCCAAAAGGCGTTGGTCCTCTGCTCTTACCTGCACACGGGAGTTGGAGTCAGACCTGGCTCTTCAGGGGTGTGGCTTATTCCTTATGGTCCAACAGTGTAGACTTTTTCCAATTTCACGTTAAGACCCAAAGCTGAAGCAGGAGAATCTACTGTCATAATTACCCTCTTCCTGTGCCCTACCACTGCCTCCCCCAGTAGGAGTGTAGGGGAATAAACTAGCTGGTGTTTGGGGCAGGAGAATTATGAATTATGAGGTCACCATGCAGCATTTTTCTCGTTAATTAAGAGGAAGTACAGCATTCTCTCAGACCTATTTTCTGATTGAGTCAGCAGACCCCACCTAGAATCTGACCTCTTCTCTGAGCAGATAACCATGGAGAAAAATGACTTCCAGGCTCATGTCCACGTGCTGCTAGATGTCTGACTCTCCCTGGTGCTGGACCCTGGCCACTTGGATCAGAACTTTTTGTCTGCTCCTTAACTCGTGACTTCTCTCCACAGTATCAGACCCAGTTTTGGCCTCTAGATACAACACACGCCTTAACCTTTGCTCTGCATGCACACAGCTTACCTCCTGCTCAGTTCGTACTTTTCACTTCTAGACTCCTGGATCAGGCCAGTCCTTACAATGTGAGGACAATGGAGGCATTGTTAGTCCGAAATAGCCAAACCCAGAGTTCATGATTAATGAGGAGAGACAACCCAAGGTTCAGCGAGCATGCAACTGTTCACAAGAGGACATGAGGCTTACTGTAAGACCTCACGTTTCCTTATTACACATACACACTTCATAAATCATAGGTAGTATTCAGACTCTAAAAGATTGGACAGGCTTTTCAATCTCAGGACATACAAACAGAGCATATCCCTTAAAACCGTGTGTTTACTCCCGAGGCAGGATTATATGGTTACCCGTTGCTGTGCTAACAGTGCACTTGTGCCCCAAGGGCAATAAGCTCAGTGTTCCTTCAAGACCTGAGTGCTGGGGAGCTACAAGCAGTGCATAAATTCTCGAAACTGCCATTTGCAAACACAAATGCCCAGGGTGAACAATCACAGGTATCTCCGTGTTTGCAGTCTTGTTCCGGGTGTTCAAATGTGTGAGGCTGTCTGAAATAACAAAGGTAGTTTGGACAATAAAAGGCCAGAAGGAAAGTTCCAGAAGAATGCTCCACTGGGAGCAGAAGGCTTGGTTGGTGGACTTGCCCAGACCCTGGTCAGATGGCTTCCAATTTCTTTCTAAAATGGGGCGCGGGGGGGGGGGGGGGTTCTGGTTCATACTTGGGGCCAGAAAATCCCTCAGAAGTTACTCAGTTTTACCACTAACCTTCCAGGGACAGAGAGCTTCCTGGGGACCAACCCACCCGCACCCTTTCCAGATAGTTCTTAGTAGGAAAAGGTCTTCTTTGTGTTTTAGGTAGACACCTTCCTTTCTGCACTACCCAAATTCTAGCCTTTCACACGACATCAACCAAGCTCACTCCTCCAACCCAGACGACATTTTGCATTTCCCTGCTGTAGTCTAAGTTCTAACACTGTGTTGTCACTTGCCTCCCACATCCCTCATCTGAAGTTCTCCACCTCTTCTCTGCTTCTGTCATAAGCTGTCACTTTCCTCGTCAAAGGGTGGGGTAGAGGATACCGCAGAATTCACTGACAAACACCTAAAAGAGGGGGAACCCTTTCCAGACACGCCTCATCTCCGTCCTGAGCCTTGTGCTCCTATTAATGTAGCCCACATCACATTCTTACCGTTTGAAGGGCAGTCATATCATATCATTGATTGTTTTTTATCTTATGCTCTTTCCCCTATGTGGAGATTAAGCAATCCTTCTTGAATTCTCTGTCCTTTAATTGCTGGTTTCTTTCTGAATGCAGAACTTTGTACTTTACCTCTGTTGGATTTCATCTTGTTGGTGTTGAAAGATCCTGTAAGAAGAGTGCAAGGCAAAGAGAATTCAATAATGACCTTCAAGGAAGAAGGAACCAGAACATAGTTCCAGAAAAGCAGCGGGTTCTTGTTTGTTTTCTGTTGCTGTGATAAACAGCATGACTAAAAGCAACTCAGGAAGCACAGGGTTTATTCCACCTTGCAGGTTCCAGTCCAGGCAGGAACTCAAGACCGGAGCTTGAAGCAGAACCCAGGGAGGAATACTACTCCCCGGCTCTCAGTCAGCTCCCTCTCTCAGACAACCCAGGCCCACCTGCTAGGGACGGGTTGCCCACAGTGAGCTGGTCCCTCCTATATCGATTAGCAATCAAGAAAAGGCACCACAGACATGCCCACAGATCTGTCTGGGGCAGTAGATCTTCCAACCTGTGTCAAACTGACCACACACATTAGCGGCTACACAGAGTTAGAGAGGAAGCCTAACGGAGGGGCTATGGGAGGACAGACTGATCCTTGGGCTTATTTTTGCTTCCTTTTACAGTGCTAATAAACCAACACGTGAGGTTTTGCTTTGCTTTGCTTTGTTCTAAGGCACAGGTTTATGAAGATGAGATTGGAAAAGCTGGGATTGAAAATTGGGATCAATACAATTTTAGAATTTTGAAAGCTGATGGACAAGTAGGAACCAACTTACTTATCTGAGAAAATTCATCTGGTAAGCCAATGGCGGGGAAGCAATAAAGAACTCTACATGCTCCCCCAAAGTCAGGAAGATAGGAATCAGTAATATGAGGTAAGCTGAAAATAGACCCAGTGTGTGAGGGTGGCACTTAGTAGGGGCTGGAGGGACAATGCAGTAGTTAAGACTGCTATGTTCTCCCAGAGAACCTGAGATTTCCAGCACCATCTCCCACTGGTAGCTCCAGCTTCAGGGGATCCAGTGCCTCTGGCCTCCATGGGGACCTGCAATCACATGCATATACCCATATACAGACACATATACATAATTAAAAATCAAATAATTTTCAAAAACAATGTTAGTTGATCCCTGAAAGGAAGGGTTTATTTCAGCTTACAGGTTAAGTCCAGGCAGAAATTCAAGACAGGAGCTTGAAGCAGAAGCCATGCTCACTTGGCAGAGGGGATACTGTGTGGACAGGAAGGCACTGTGAGGGCTAGAAGAATGTTTTCATGACATCGAAGGGAAGTTTAGCTCAGCCTCTTATCTACCAAACATTAAAGGATTGTCTTCTATAGAAGTTAAGCAATCCAAAAGGAAAGATTCAGATTTTAAGTGTTCCTCAAAAAACAAATAAAGGCCAGAAACAAACTCCACCTATATATATATATATATATATATATATATATATATATATATATAGTCCCCACCTACATATGCAGAGCTCCACCCACATATTCAGAGCCTTTAAGCTGCAAGGCTGTTTTCTGTAAAAGTATCAAGCAGACACATAATGAAGATCTCCAGTATATGAGACAGATCACAAAAAAAGCAGAAAGAGAGAAAGAGAGAGAGAGAGAGAGAGAGAGAGATTTGAGAGAGAAAGTCACCACAAAACTACAGTCAGCATCTTAGAAAGCTAAGAAGATACATTCACAAGATGAGAAACCATTAGCAGACATGGAAGTCTCAGTATGAGATTTGGAAAATCAGGTGAAAAAATTTTTCCAGAAAGCAAAGAGATGGAGTCTAAGATTGTGGAGATGAGAAAATTAAATACAGGGTGACATATATATAGAGATAGAGATAGAGATAGAGATAGAGATATATATTCAGGAACATCTAACATTTAACAAGAAAAAAGTTATAAGGAAAAAGTTTTCAAAGTTAACAGAAAAAGAAATAAGGCAAGTAGAAGAAATAATAATCCCAGGAATTTTCCCAGAACAGAAAGTTTTCAGCTATCAAATGGAAAGGACCCACATAATGCCCAGAAGGATAGCTTTAAAAAAAGCCACATTCCACACCCATATCGTCTCACCAACATGACTGCCTAAATACGAGCTGAACAAGGACAGTAACAGACAAGCATTTCCAAAGCGCACAAGGGAAGGACCAGAATGCCTTAACCCTACACAAATAACTCCAGGCAACAAAGGAATGCTGAGAGAGCAGGGTAAGTAGTCTTCTGCAAGGAAGAGCACAGCTATTGGTCGTCCAACACCAAGCGGGAAGATAAAATGTAACATTCTGCAGCAGTAAGAAGAAGGAAGAGGATACATTACGTCATACTGGACAGAACCATCTTTGTACACGGACCTAGCTGTAGACTAAATCAGAAATGAATTAAAATAAAATGGTTTAAAAAAACAGAGCCACACATGCACACACACACACACAAAAAAAAAAAAACCCACAAATACATGACATGTACAGACACTAGAGATAAAGGGACAATCGTAAAAGCTTTCAGAATGGAGAGCAGGTGACACGTAAAGAACCAGAAGACAGAAGGCTTGCAAGCTGGGAGGGGGGAGCCCTGCTTGCTGTAGACTGAGAAAAGGATCTATGGCTCAACACTCTGTCTTGTACCGCAACTCAATATAAAGCCGGGGGCTAGAGGGTTGATGGGTTAGTGGTTAAGAGTAATTATTGCTTTGCGAAGGACCCAAGTTTGACTCCTAGCACCCACACTGGCCCCTCACAACGGCCTATAACTCAGTTCCGGGGAACCCGACACCCTCTGCTCTCTGTAAGCCCCTGCACACTTGTAGTGCACAGGCAATTACGCAGGCACACATACAAACGAAAACAAACCTTTAAAATGATCTGACATATGAAGCCAGAAGGAAAATGTTTTCAGTTTTCACACATGAATTGTCTGAACTTATGTCCTGGCCCTAGTTTCTCAGGAAATTTTCTAGTGTAGAACTCATATCAGCAAGACAAGGAGGCAACAGAAGGAGACAGAGTAATATTCAACTCAAGACACAGACACAGAGTCTCGCTAGGATCATACTGAAGAAGTGTCCTGGGAAGAGAGCCATCCAGGAGGTTCAGAGAGCAGCCAAGTCGGGACAGAGCAAGTCGGGGAACACAGGGAGATTTCTCTAAGAAGATGAAAATGATAGATTAATGCTAAGTCTGAACCAGCAGGGAGAGGATTTAGACAACCATGGAGAGTTTGTGGTTAAATTAATTATACCTTAGAACACATAAAGGGGAAAAGAACATAGCAATTATTAACCTCAGAGAAAATAAAACGTTGTGTAAGAAAGGCCAAATGATCATAGTGTGCCACGTGGCTCATCTGCAACTATTATTTACAGAGTTATGATGAAAACATGAAATCTTGGCCCCAAGTAGAATGAGATGGGGGTGGTCTAGCTTCATGCTGGGGTGAGAACAGTGGGAAATACATATGTATGTGGTAGTGTTGAGAAGGGGCAGTGGTGAAACTGAATTAAATGTTTCTCTTCCATAGTAGGAAGTTATTAGATAATGTTCAAAATAGAAATACTAAGAAGTAACAGTATATCCACGGTGTTTAGGAAAAGGAAGGCTGGGCTGGGAGTAGTTCAGTGGGAGAGTGAATCTTCAGTGTGATTGAAGCCTGAGAGGGAAGGAGAGAGAACCGTCAAAGAAAAAAAGTATAAATTTTCTCTGGCTGGAGAAGCATGTTTGATAGCAAACTGTGTAGATGATTTGACTCTTTACATGCACAACAGCTACAATAAAAATTTTAAACTAAGTTTTGGTTGCAGCCTCTCAAGTGCTGGAATCATAGACAACAGCCACCATGCCTGACCCCCCTCCAAAAAACCAAAGCCTAATTAGAAACAAGAATGAATAAGTGAATGAAGGAACCAAGAAAGTCATCTGACTAAAAGCAATTGATTAAAAACACCAACAAGGACAAACAGAGAGCTGGAAAGAACAGCCTATAATGGTGAATGAGGAGGGAAGGGAACAAGTTCAATATTTCAAGGCTGAGAGAGACCAGAAGTGAAGTCCAGAGAAAAGGCCCATGTTTAAACATGTAAATGGAAGGAGGAGGCAGGACCAATCACCCACCACCGACTACTAAGTTCATCTTCCGTATATTTCTCCATTTTATGCACTTTGCTCTAACTCCATCTTGTTCTGCTCGGCTGAGGCCAGCAACATCAATGCCCCACATAGCTGGAAATGTTCCCTGCTTCTAGACTTGTACCCTTCCAATCCACTCTATTGGAGGATATTTGATCACACTGTGAACCCTGAGTTTGCATTTGCATTAATTAAATAAAATTAACCTTGAGTCAGGAGGCTGTGTTAGCAACTAGTTGGTAGAAAGTAACCATAGACCATTAGAGGCCATCTGGAAGAGACAGA